GTGTGTGTGTGTGTGTCTGTGTGATTTTGGTTGGGTGGCAGAGGTTACAGTTTGGCAAAAGCACAGTGTTGTTTTACACAAATATAAGTAGGCTAAACACTTTGCAGTTTGAATGATGTCCTGTATGAACAAAATCACGGAGTATGCCTCTCTCTCTCTTTCTGACACAGACACACATACATTCCAGCAATGATAGATACAATGATATATATTTTCTGTACCTGTTCTTTGGTCACAGTTATGTCTTCAAATAGTGCTTCTGCTCGATCTTGTTACTCTGCCAGTTTGAGTCTCTTGTCTGCTTGTCATACAGGTTGGTGAGGGGTTCTGGTAGATCCAGCATGACAGCCTTTGGCACATAGGATGCAGCGTACTCTTTGACAACAGACAGGACTACTGGTTTGATGATCTGCTCCTCTTTTGTGCGGCATTGCGAGAGGTTGTTATAGAGTTGGGCTTGCTCAGCAGCGATCAGAGGTGGGAAAGCTGGGGGGGCAGAATGACCTTTCGAAGATTTTCCTTTTTTATATTGTTGAGAGTTGTTAAAAATAATGTCCTTGCCCTGCTGATACTCTACCTTCTTTAAAAAGTCCTCACTTGGGGTGGCCCACTTGCACTTTTTGGATGTTACAGCTATCTCTTCTTTTCTACTATTGTTATGCTGCCATATGCTGAACAACACAGCTGACACATGGGAGCAACTCTCACCAAGTCCAGCTGTGGAATTGCAGTGGGCTCCCAAGACAACCCCATCATTCCTCACCACAATCCATGGCTTTAACTGAGGGTCATTAAGCCTTTGGGAATGATTAACCTATACATGAAATTAAAAATGTCAGCTAACTTGGTTGAGTACATCAAAGGTACAAACTAGCTACAGACAGCCAGATGCACCGCGGTTGCTACCCAAGCTAACATAAACAAACAACCCGGACCCCTACTAGCCATGCTAACGTTGCACTACCTATTAAAATGGGACACTTACCCTTCCAGTGATGATGCAGCATTTTTTTGCTTGAAGATTCCACAGCTGGATGTTTGTTACAAAGCCAGACTAAGTCCATTTGTAACCCTCCAGGCTTTTGTAGGCTTTTAGAGAGTCACCCGAGTAGGAAGATGGGAAGTTTATCAGGTAGTTATATATATCCGGATACTGCAGATCTGGGACGTCTTCTTCAGCGGAGATACTTGTGAAAAGCACCCCGGGGGCATTGTATGGGTCGGTATTAACCTATTTATTTATTTTTATATAAAGCTCAATGTCATGGGAATTAAAGTGAGATGAGTACACCGATCGCTTGAAAGCTTCGGCGCTGGCGCTGGTCATTTTACTGCCAAAATGGCGGCCAGAACATCGGTAGTCACGTGGGGTCCGGAGCTCTATAGCAACCGTTTCACAATCGCAGTGTTAGTGAAATGCTTAATACTGTCCTACTGTCTTAATAATAATGTCAATAAATATATATCCATAATTTTAGTGATACACTATTAATCTAGTCCTGATCTTGATTGTATGTTACTCTGTATATTAAATCTTGGTTGACTTCGTTTTTCTTTTCTTCATAGAATTACTTCAGGCAGTGCAGCAACCAGTGTGGGGCATTTGCCCTTGAGCTGCAGGTTCTGCTTTTTCATAAGGCACTACAAGCTCAAGTAACTATCATCTCCCTGCATCTATGAAGACTGTGTATGTTCATTTAGAACTAAGTTTGCTCTAAGAAAACATTTGGCCAGGCAGGGACCATAAACAATCTTTCCGGTTCTGTGCTGCAGCTTTTACTTTGAACTATGATCTTTGTGCTTCCTCATAGACCTGTGGCATTACTCAATGTTTCTCCGGAGACAGGAGAATGAGCCTCCAGTCTCTGAAATGAAAAAGAGGTGGCCGGCTCTTTTTTGTGAGAGACAGGTAAAGTCCCACACTGCTGAAAATGCTGTTACATGAATTTGTAGATATACTATTTTGCAGTGTTTTTTAACACGTTGCTGTTATGTTTGTGTAATTTAATGATTAGTTTAGATCAGTGCAGAATTCAACAGACTTGTCGCCGGACCTGAGCAAGTCTTTTTATGAGGGTCTTGACTGGCATCAACCAAAACTGCTGTGTCTGTACCGTTCAAAGCTCTGTGCTGACATTGCTGAAATGAGGACCATAATGGACAGCCTAGATAAAAATGTAAGTATATTTCTACTGTACGTTTTTTGTAAACATTATGGTCATTTCCTTTCTTGCAATTTCTTCTGTCCTGCATGATTTTTTGTTAGTGCTGCACTTCTAGTCAATAATAACGTTATATTAAGTTTTATCTTTGATAATCAAAATTACATTTTGAAAGTTTTTTTCCCCTGTGAAATCAATTTCTTCAGGCCTTAAAATATTGTAGCTTGATTGTAACTTTTTATACCCTTGCGTCATTTAGTGTACATATCTATGAACATTCAAAATGCCTCCATTTATTCACAGTGTATAGTATTTGACCTAATTCTCTCAGTTTAAAGGGATAGTTCATCCAAAAATGAAAGTTCTGTCATTAATTACTCACCCTCATGTTGTTACAAACCTATAAGACCTTTATTCTTCTTCAGAACACTAAATAAGACTTGGTATACTCATGTTTTGTTTTAGTCTTTGAGCTTCAGTGTTGTATGTGTGAAAGCACATTTTGAAGTTTGTCATTTTTTAATACAGCACACAGAATCCGAAGAAGGTATCAGGGGCATGACTCTTGGAATCATCACAGTGGTGGAAGATGTGACTGACCCCATTCCATGCAACTCTAGTGGACCTTGTAAATCGAGGAAGCAGTTGTTCTGCGAGGACTTGGTGATATTTGGGACATACAAATGACATTGCTTTATGCTCTCAACATAAACTACCCCCCAAAAAAACTCAGATACACGTTTGAGGTGATTCAGAGGCTGCTGATGAACACTGGAGCTGATACCAGCAGTGCAAGAGTGCACTCCCTTAAAAATACATGGTTGAATTAAATGTTGTTGAGGTAAGGTGTTGTGTACTTCTACCAAGGGCCTGTGTTTGTTGTGTATTTTAAAGGGTTTTTTCACATTTTTACAAGTTCTCTGCATCAATGACCTGACATCCATTTTCATTGTTTGACTTTTTTAATCTTAATTGGTTAAAACATATGAAGATCGCATGTGTTTTAAAGTTATTTCACAGTTAAAGGTGTATCATTAATGTGAAAAATCTTAAAGTGTTTGTTTACCCAAAATTAAAATTCTTTTGTTAGATACTCAACCTCAAGTTGCTCCAAACCTAAAAGACCTTTGTTTATCTTTGAAACACATATGAAGATCTTTTTAACACAATCTGTGAGCTTTCTGTCCCTCCTTGACAGCCTACGCACCTAGCACTTTCAAGGTCCAGAAAAGACATCCAAGTGACTCCAGTGGTTTACATTTACATTTTACATTTATGCATTTGGCAGACGCTTTTATCCAAAGCAACTTACATTGCATTTTAAGGTACACATTTACATTATTATCAGTTCTTGCTTTCCCTGGGAATCAAACCCATAACCTTGGCGTTGCAAGCGCCAACGCTCTACTGTTTGAGCTACAGGAAATTTTTATATATTTGTTTACATGCAACAGTGACTGCTTTCGCGGCCACACAAGAAGCATGTGCTGTTATGCTCTTGTAAACATTGCGATGGAGAAAACTATTAAATACATAAAATGGTGAAACACTCGCCATGCTTTATAAAACTGAGGTTAAACCACTGAAATCACTTGGATTACTTTAAGGATGTCTTATCTGGACCTTGAAAGTTGCGTAGGCTGCCAAAGGGCACAGAAAGCTCACAAATTTCATTAAAAAGATTTTTATTTGTCTTCCAACAAAGGAAAGTCTTAACAGGTATTGGATGGCATGAGAGCAATTAACAGTGGTATTTTCATTTTTGGGTGAACTGACACATAAAGATTTTTCACATTAATACCCTTCTACTGTGAAATAACTTGAAAACACGTGCAATCTTAATATATGTTTTAGCCAAGTAAAATTAAACAAAGTTAAACAATGAAAATGGATGTCAGGCCATCGATGCAGAGAACTTTAAAAACGTGAAAAAAAAAAATTTCCTCATGAATACACTTTCCATGCATTTTTCAAATACATTTTTATCTTTAAACTTTATGAATATGTTACTTTGAATATGTTAACTGAGTTTGTTCTTAACATTTATTGATTTGTAAGGAACAATAAAATCGTTTGTATGGGGAAATCTTTTATTTATTTGGTTTTGATGTGCAAGTTGAGAGAAAATGCCAAATTAAGTTTAATGAACATACATTTTAGTACAGATAACTTGAAAATGTAAGTTATCGTCTTTCAACTAAACTTTGCAAGTCTATGTTACTAGAAATAAGTTGTTGGGTCAACTATTTTAACTATGTCAACTTAACTTTTTAAGTTGAAAATACTTATAAGATTGAGAAAATAAAACTTAACTGAGTCAAAGCAAAAAGATAAGTAAAAAATGTAAGTTGAGTGAACACATTTTTTTTATGGGAGAAAATAGGCTGGTAAGTTTGGATCAGGTTGGATGAGGATTCTGTCTCTTGGGCCTGAAGGAAATACTACATGGTAAACAAATGACTGAATATGTTTCACTCAAACATTATAGATGTACTCTTGAAGATCATATTATCCATAGAGCGACTGAATCCCTCTGATGTCATCAGAGGGCAGAGAGAAGAGACCCGGATCGCTGAAGCTGTATGTGGGAAACATCAGAGCGCCAGGAACGTCGGAATGAGAAAGACCCAAAGAGTGACCAAATTCATGGGCAGCCACCAAGAACAGGACATAACCTGCAGAGAAATTAGGTAGAACAGATTAGGCACAAGTTAAAACACTTAATTGCCACTTTTGATTTTTACTTGAAATCAAAGTGGTGATGAAGATGAATCTCTGAAAACTACATTTAGCAAAACGTAATGCAAAAAACTAAAAAAATAAATAAATTACATTTACCACGTGGTAAGCGGAATGTGAAATCCTCATCATCATCGAAATGTGCATCTCCACCAATTCCAGATGAGGGAGCGAAAGCATGAGCCAAAACGCCGTGTGGTCCATCAAATGCCATACCATCACCATGATCTGTAGGAAAGAGTTTGGCTTTAAATTGAATTTTTAATATAATTAGATTTTAGAAATAAAAGGAACCTGGGCTTTATTTTGAAAGTCATTTCGTTTGCAATTAACGATTCATTCGTTTTCTTATGACTTTTAAATCTTGAATCGTTTATGTTGGATGTTATTCATTGAAACATCTTCCAGATTTCCGAAATAAAATTGAAAATACCTTAATTAATTGGAAACTTCACCATTATTTAATCTAAGATAAAACTGTGTTATTTTGTTAGTATCGATGGTGAGCACAAAGCATACATGGCCTTCAGGTAAAATAAAAGGCAATCAGGTTATATTAGTTTTGATATTGTTACTTTTGTTGCAATAAACAGACCAAAATAGTTTGTCTAGTTTATACATTATGGCAAATAAGAATAGAATTCTATAAATATATTTAAAAAAACTGAATTGTGCATAGAATCGAATTGAACTGTTCTAAATTTGCAAAATTCTCAGCCCTATGCTACATCCAAAAAATATTTTCATGATTTCTTATCACAACTTTTTTCTTTTGTCAAATCATCTCATTAATAATGAATATTAATTTGATAAGATAATTAACGTGGTTCAGATAACATAATATTTTTGTGTTTCTGTTGAATAAACCATCTCCTACAACTCAAATGCACCAGCTGGAGTGCCCTTGATTTCCACCAGAGGGCACTCCTTCGGTCTTTGCTAGGACTACTTTTCCTAGAAACCTTTGTCCGAACTCAACCTAAAGTCTTGGAGCAGTTCATGACAACTTGCTGCCATAATTATTTTATTGAGCATTGTTCATATAATGTTAATTTTTAATAAACAAAGTTTCATATACCGGTATTATTATTCTAACAGTATCTTAGGATCCTCAAGATATTCATAAAACATCAACAAGTTTAAAAGAATTCATCAAAATGAGAAGCACATGGTTAATAAACAAAATATAAACATACATAAATGGATAGAGGAAACATACTTTTTGTGGCAAAGGAGATCATGATGTCAGCTGTGCCTTTGTAGATACGGGTGAATCTCAGAGGAGTGACGTCTGCCCACACTTGCAGGGCTCTTCTGATGGAATCATCCACCTCTGCTTTTGTCATGTCATGGGTGTAGTTCTCAATCCTGAGGAAAAGGACCACAGTCGGTTTCTGCTTCTCTTTTTTCTGTGACACCAAGAGAACTCATATTATACACACCTGTATGTGAGCTTGTTGGTCTGCCATTTGGGTCTGCCTCTAAACTTGGAGTACGCAGCGACATCTGGAACTCCACAGCGGGGCTTCTTCATCACCTCCAGTGTTTCTTTGTCCAGCGTTCCAGTGACATTAAGCCTAAAAAACTTCTGCATCTCTTTCAATTTATCAGGCAGTGGATCCGGCTCTCTGGCTGAAGGATTAGGATTATATTCCAATTTGTAGAAGCTCTTCAGGTAATTCTAAAGAATACAAAAACAGAATCATTGGAAGAATTAGGCTTATGATCAAAGACAAAACAATATATATATATATATATATATATATACACACACACATATATAAACCCCAAACCTCTGCAATTCCATCATCATCAACAGGCTGTGCAATCGGTCCTGCGTGAATAACAAGCACCAGGCTTGCAAGAAAACCCAGCTGGCGGTGAATCCTCCTCATGTTGTGAGTTGCTTCTTACGATCTTGAGCTTCTCTTCTGATTGGAAGCGTCTGATGGAGGCTTATATACTCTTAAAACTGTGAGGTGTTGAGCAACGGGGGAAATTATCAGCCACAAACTTCTGTGAGTAAGCCATCAAACTGACAATAATAACAGGATTTTCAACTTTCCTGACACAGCCTTTTCCTCCTCGCCCAGATATTTGTATTATTTCTTTTCCTCATGGCTTTATTTAACGGCATTTCTAACCGTTTCTATGTATTATAAACAAAAACAAGGGCAACATGGTAATAATATTTGTTTACATTTATTTGTTTGTGCAATGTTTTACTGGACTGCTATTCAACTTAAAATAACTAAATAATATCAATAAATACATTTCACATAAATACATACATTTTACTCAATAAAAAAATATAGTTTTAACTTTTTTACCTTTAATGTATGCGTATTGTTAAATATAATATACAGTTGCAGCATAAATTATAAATTAGCTCATTTATACTTTTATCTCCTTTCTTATATTAACTAAATGGTAATATAACTTACATTTAACCAATTAACTAAGTTGTACCACAGTAAATTTTGTATTTTTTTTAAATATATATATACATTTCTGAAATACACATACTTAAACCTAAAATGTATTTTACTTATAAGATAATAGTAGATAGGGGGCAGTTGTGGCCCAATGGTTTGAGAGTTGGACTTGTAACCTGGGTCATGGGTTCAAGTCTGAGTACCAGCAGGAAATGCTGTGTGGCTTTTCCGGGTGTGTGTTCAATACTCACTGCTGTGTGTGTGTGCACTTGGATGGATGAAATGCAGAGCACAAATTCCGAGTATGGGAATCGTCACTTTCACTTTTTATTTTTAGTAAAAGTTTTTTATAAGGTTGGGGTTTCTGTTAGTTTGTACTAATTGCAATTTGCTTAATTTCAAAATAAATCAATTGGAAATCCCCAATTTTGAGAAGTAAGCTTGGCATGTATGTGTGTATGTGCAAAGAGAGAGCTAGCTATGCTTGGGGTGTTGTGAAAGATCTGCAGGTAATGGCAATCTTTGTCACTCTTTATTGTCAGACGAATGAGGAGTAATATTTTATAATGAAAGTGGTCCATATAACTCGTGCAGAATATTTCAATTCTTATGAAGACTTATGATAGTTCTGTGTTGGGAACAGACTTAAATGTATGCCAATCACTAAACAACCGGGATGTCAACTGTGAAGAATTGCAGAAACATGCCTTCAGAAGTTAACTTAACAGGGTCTGGGGTGACGTCTTTCCAAGATGGTGCATGCAGCACACTCGCATGGAGCTGGTGGCAGGAAAGTTTGCTCACGTACAAAGCCTGAGATTTTTAAAACTGTTGATGGCAAACTGATAGTGGAAGACGCATTTCTAAACTTTGTTGTCATTAAAATGAGGACACTAAGCCAGGATGAAATCGTAATGCTGGCCTCCACTAATTATCCGTCTGAGTGGATTGAGGAGTCAAAGAAGCTACCCTTTGAAGTTTGTCCGAAAACGACTCGATGTGTTTTGCACAAGGGTCCTCAGAAGGATATTAACAACATCAAAGCGTGCCTAAAGTTCCTTAACGAGTGTGGGGAAGATATCCCAAGATATCTGGACGAGCTTCCACCTGTTTCATTCAGCAGTATTGATGTATCAGCACTCCTTGGCAGGATTGAACAGCTAAATAAGGAAGTGTCCGACATGAAAAATATCATGGACACTCAAGTATGCGTATGTGAGGATCTACGAGCGGTTACTGCGGCTGTGGACAAGCGTGTGGCCGAATTGGAGAGGCCTTGTGAACCAGTTCACGGCCACACCACCGGCACTGGTCTGGAGGAAGATGGACGATCTGCGACCTCCCTGGCTTTAGGCACCCCACCGGAAACTGCGGAACTGAATATACCTCCACAAACACAATCGCCTAAATGGAGCATGCTTGTGAAAGATGGTCGACGATTAAAACAGATGCAGTGTGGGTCCGATAAAATAACCGCTAAACATCAAAATATGCAAGCAAGAAGAAACTTGTTCCCCTGTTTGCTATTTGTATGACAGGTTTCCTAGTTCATGGGATTCTGTCTGAATCTATCTTGCCTGTTTTATTAGTGCCCGTCATTAAAAACTCGCAAAATAAACAGCATGAACAATTATAGACCTATACCCCTAGCTAATGTCAACACGGTACAGAGATATGTGGGTAACACTTTACAATAACAGTATGAATAATCATGTACTAATACCTGAATTAATAATTACTTATGAACTAATGATGAGTTAAGACATGTATGAGGAACTAACCTTAACTATGACATGAGTCATGTGAATTCCTGCATGAATATACCAAATTAACTACACGTTAGTACATGCTTGTTAATGTATTAATTAACATTTCGAGGTAAACTAAATCAAACATGCTCTAGATCAGAAGAAAGATGTACTAAAAGGGCACAATGTAAAATTGTTCATAAATTTGACACCAGCAACTGTCACAAATCAGTGAATGACACTAGATGTCATGCAATATTTACATTTAACCTTACTCATTACAACACACAATGATGCATTCAACATTAAAAACAATTTAATCTCATTCTGTTTTAAGTGATTCCACTGCTGCCATCAAGAGTGAAATACCTACACTAACATATACACTAACAATTATTCATTGTCATTTCTTGTCTTGGCCCTCCAAGAGTACATCTTTAAAAAGTTATCAATTACACATGTTCTATACATATTTAGCTCTTCTAAATCATATATCATTTGGTGCTTTTCAGTGGTTTGTAAAGAAGTGGAAGAGCAGAGGTGCTGTGCCCGCATTTGGATTGAGAAGGAACTGAACGGTAGGAGGAAAATGGACACATTTTGTGGCCCAAACGAAGAGCAAGAACACAAGACTAACATCCGACATTATGATAAAGACAGAAAACCAATCCATAAAATAACCACATAAATAGCCATCATCTGTGCTAACACTGATTTTAATTTTGAAAATTGCATCTGTTAGTGTATAGGTATTTCACTCTTGATGGCAGCAGTGGAATCACTTACAACAGAATGAGATTAAATTGTTTTTAATGATGAATGCATCATTGTGTGTTCAATGAGTAAGGTTAAATGTAAATATTGCATGACATCTAGTGTCATTCACTGATTTGTGACAGTTGCTGGTGTCAAATTTATTAACAATTTTACATTGTGCCCTTTTAGTACATCTTTCTTCTGATCTAGAGCATGTTTGATTTAGTTTACCTCGAAATGTTAATTAATACATTAACAAGCATGTACTAACGTGTAGTTAAGATGGTATACTCATGCAGGAATTCATATGACTCATGTCGTAGTTAAGTTTAGTTCCTCATTAGTACATGTCTTAACTCATCATTAGTTCATAGTTAAGTAATTATTAATTCAGGTATTAGTACATGATTATTCATACTGTTATTGTAAAGTGTTACCGATATGTGTATATTTGCCTTAAAGGAAATTTTAGGTCATTATAATAGCCAGAATTCCACAACTTTTATGTGTTTTATAGCTGCCTCTATGATGCAATTTAAGAAACAATTTTTAATGGTTTACATGATCAAATGCGCCTTAGAGGAATACCAAAAGTAATTATAATAATTCTAGTCTTTTGGTATTCACACCAGTCAATGCAGGTTGAATAGTGAAGCGAGGATTCAAGTGCATGTAAGGATTTATTAATTAAACAAACAAACAAACAAACAAACAAAACAAAACTACAAACAAAACAAAACAAAACCTCCCCGTGGGGGGAAAGCCAGGACAGGCATCGGCAGGAACATAACACAAAGAAAACATAGACAACGAACCAGCACAGGACTGCAAACACAGGGAGACTAAATAGGGAAGCAAACAAAAGAGGGTAACGAGGAAAGCAGGTGGGGCAAATTAATCAATAATCAGGTAACGAGATGGGAGGGGCCAGACAATTGACAGGAGAGCACATGGCACAAGGAATACAAGACAAGCCATGTGCTCACAATGAACCAGACTAAACAAACACAGGACAAACTGGGAATGTCAGAGCTCTGTCACCAACCAGATTATAACCCGACAGAAGTGACAGAACCCTGACACTGTTGGTAACGGAGTTCGTCAGGGTGGTATTTTGTCACCTTTCCTTTTTAACGTGTATATGGATGACTTGTCACAACAATTAAATAAATGTAATACAGGATGTATGATAGGCAATACTCTCACTATTCACCTTATGTATGCAGATGATTTGGTAATCATTTGCCCATATAGTGCTGGGTTACAACAACTGTTGATGGTTTGCTCTCAGTACGGTGCAGATTTTGATATCAAATATAATGGAGATTTTGATATCAAATATAATGCAAGTAAGAGCATTATTATGATTGTTAGAAGTAAAGAGGACAGGAAATTAGTATTCCCTGATTTCTTTTTTATCTGGTACTGCCCTTAAAGTGTGTGATGAGATCAAATATCTTGGCCATCCTATTGTAAATGATCTATCGGATGATAAGGACATCAATAGACAGTGTCGCAAGATGTATGCTCAGGCTAATGTGCTTGCACGTAAATTTGGCATGTGTTATGCTTATGTTAAGGTAGCCTTATTCAAAGCATTCTGTACTCCACTGTATACTACCCACTTGTGGCGGTCTTACAGCAAACAGAACATGCAGAGACTGAATGCAGCGTATTATGATGGCATGAGACTGCTTCTAAAACAACCAAGATGGTGTAGTGCTAGTCAAATGTTTGTTAATGTTGGTGGGACTACCTGTTCTGCCTTAATAAGAAATCTTTTTCCATACATGTGTAGAATGTCTGTCTCTGAAAACAGAATTATACAAGCTTTAGCCCACAATGATTTTAGCTCTGTCAGGTATACATCTAGACTGTGGAGACATTGGCGCTCCTGTTTGTATTATTACAAGTGAAAGTTATTGACCATTTATTAATTTATTTCTATGTACTGTATATTTATTGCTATGTTGTAAATATTGTCTTTTTTTTTTTTTTTTTTTTTTGTACTATGGACCTTCCATTTCGAGTCCTGAATAAAGTCATTATTATTATTATTATTAACACTTTCCCTGACAGGTATAG